ATTGAAATTAAAACCCCATTGGAATATAGAGATGAGGAAATATATTATAATGTCCTTCATTAATATATAATGTTATTTTATTATTTATATTTTGTTTATAATAAAATAATGTTTATGGTGGTGCAAAATTATTTTTGGAAAAAAAAAAAAAAATTAAAAAAAATAAAAAAAATTAATTTTGAATTTTAAGTTTTTTTTTAAATTTATCATCATTTATTGAATACACTTTAACAATAATAACAACATACAATAATAGTTATATCGGAATATACTGTGTATGTAATATTATATATAAATACAAATATATAAAGTGATTCGATTCGATTATTTATTTAATTTTTAAATATTAGCTGCAAAACAGGTTTAAAGAATATAAGATTCTATCATAATGATTTAAAAGTAACAAAAATAGAGAATCAAATAAAATGTTTATTACACACTAGAATTATCCAATACTAAAGAAATTAAAGCAACTTTAATATATTATGATTATAGAGCAAATGAAAAGAAGGATACAGTTAATTCAACATACAATGCAACTTCAAAACAGTTTAAGTTTAATCCAAAGAACATTAAAACCGGTAATGTTAGTAATACAATTTCATTAGATTCTATAGGGAAGTAATAGTTACTACAAAAACTTTTCATCACCCTCTGCAAATCATTTAAGAGTTTCGGAATCAAAAGGTAAGTTTATACACACATTAATATCATTCCATACCTATTTACAAAATAATACAAATATATTAATTAATTTTTCATTTTATTTTTAGTTATAGATTTTATTGGACCATTAGTTTCAGATTTAAAGATATTAAAATCACTAAATGATAATAATCACAAAATAAAAAATTTATATTAGTATGAAAAATCTTTAAGAAGAAAGCTATAATCATCTTTGAATATACATTATTTTTTTATACTATTTTTAAGTTGATGTTGGCTTAAACTTATGAATCTCTAGAGACATATATAGATCTATATCTTCGAGGATACACATTGAATAAGAAAAAAATAGAATACAGGAAAAATGCCTGGATGGCTCAGTAGGCAGAGCGAGCGGCTGTTAACCGCTAGGTCCATGGTTCGATCCCATGTCTAGGCGATTCATTTATTATAATCGACATCTTTTCGGAGATCACAAAAAAAAAAAAAAAAAAAAAAAAAAAAAAAAAAAAAAAATTCATTTTTTGATCAAGTTTTTTTTGAAACACATAAGGTAAATATGACATTAAAATTTTAATGTCATATTCACAAATAAAATATGAAATCCTCCTTTTACTGATTAATTTAAAGCATTTGCTTTTAATTATCTTCACTTTTAAAAAAAAAAAAAAAAAAAAAAAAAATCCTGTTGCCCACGGGCTCGATATCCTCTTTTTCGTATTATTGCAATTCTTAAAAACAGTCAAGTGTTAACATTATTTAAAATCTTACTTTTTATAAATTTTTAAGTTTTAGAACTGCAACAGCTTTTTAATCTATGTATAGTAATTATTCACCACAAAACACAGATCAAAAGAAACTAAATCGTATTAATAGTTTTTAAGCTAAAAAAAAAATATGTTTTGATTTATTTTATAAACTTAAGTTAAAAGAAACTAGCTTTATTTTGATAAGAGATTTCAATAGTGATAGAATAAAAATCTTTTTTAAATAAAATTATTTGTAAAACAATTAGGATATATTTCATATATATCAAACAATAGTTATATTAAAATAAATTAAAAAAAGGTGGTGTGTTTAATAATGTAAAGAAAAAAAAAATTTCATTGTGAAAGTGTGGGTGTCTGTATTAATGTTTGTATTATGTGTGTGAATTCGTACTTTTTATAGGGGTGGGGTAAAATGAAATAATAATTGAAAAATTATATAAATTTTTATTATTTTTAATATTATTATTTCATTTTTTTATTTATTTTTATTTAAATCTGAAACCATAAAAATTAAACAATACAAATTTTATTATATGTTTTTAAATAATAAATATTTAAAAAATATTATTATTTTATAATGGAACCGATAAATTATTCATTTGATAATATAATATATAAAGAAACCAACAATAACCAATTAAATAATAATAACTTTAAATATAATGCAAACTATTTTCAAATTAAAAAATTCAACACTGGAACAGTAAAATTAAATAATAACGACTACATAAAGACAATAATAAATGATTTAATAGTAAAGCAAAATGAAAGAGATTTCGATGCAATAAACAGTAGTATCAATAAAAATATAGAAGTTAATGAAGATGCAGGTGGTTTTGATGATATTCCAATAGACAACGATACAAATAACAATATAAATCGAAACGAAAAACAAAAAGAATGGGGAATTGGAATACCACATTTAAAAAGCAGCAACTCAAATACAACCTATAGTGATATAGAAAAAGACATAATAGAAGAAAAAAAGTTTAATAACAAATTAGCTTTTATTAAATTAAAAAACATTATCACAAGTTTTATTATTGCATCAATATTGTTTTTAAAAAGATTCCCGAAAGAAATGGCAAGAATGCTAATTGAAAACTCTTTATTATCTCTGTGGATGTTTGTTAATCTAATTTCATTGTTAATGAATCAGTAAGTATCTTTATGTTTAAAATACAAACTAGTGAAATGCTATAGAATATTAATATTGTTTTTATAATATATATTATAGGAGTTTAGAAGAGAATTATAATTTTAATTTTTATAACTCTTTAATTGGATTTCAATTAATTGTTTGCTTTTTTATATCCAATTTGTATATTTATTTAAAAAACAAATACAACATTAATGGCATTAATGATATCATATCAATGGAGATGATAGAGAATACATTAGAGCTTCCCAATCCATCAGCATTTATAAAAACCCCAGGAACTTTAGAAATGATTAAAATAATATTACCACTCTCCTTTATATTCGTGACCAATTGTATTATAACCAGTAAAGTCAATGAAAGTATTGTAGAATTTTCAAAAACAGTTGTACCATTAACTGTAGTAGGTTTACAATATATTATCACAAAAAAAAGATATGCAAAAACATTTTATTACTCAATGGTTGTTTTGGTTTTGGGAACTGGTATTTTCCTTTTGGACGAGTCCATCGAAGAGCTTGCAAATTTCAAACAAATCATGCTTTCAGTTTTAATAATATCCTTTATTTCATTAACTTTAATCTATTCACACACAATATTCTCTACAAAACTATCTTTAATCAATCCCATCAATATTATCAGCTTCTTTTCCCCATGCTCATTCTTAATGCTCCTTCCTTTCATTATCAGCGAATCATCCCAAGTACTTAAATATTTTATTAAATTAAATGATGAAAACCCATTAAATTTAATATATAATTTACTTTTATGTTTAACTATATCTGGTGTTTTATCTTATTTTACATGTAAGTTTATTTAAATTTAAATAATATATATTTAAAAAAAAGATAAGAAATCATATTAATTATTTATTTTTTTAAACAGTTTATATAACATTTATTGCAAATAAAAAATACAACATCTTGGTTATGTCTATTTCAAGAAATTCAAAGTCAATATTATTAAAATTATTCTCTAGTCAGATAGTATTTCAAAATGAAACTATATCCCCTGGTAATTGGTTTGGTTTCATTATAAGCTCGATTGGTGTTTTTATGTCATACCAAGATTCATTAAAAGAACCCAGCAACACTAATCATGATGAATCTATAGATATAGAAAATTAAAAATAGAAAAAAATAAATAAATAAATAAATAAATAAAAAACAACAAATACAAATAAATAAATAAAAATTTTATTTTTTTTATGAAAAAAAAAAAAAAACCTAGATATTATCTAAATTATTAGTATTAGTATTTGTATATAAATATTATTTTGGCAGTGACATGCTTCAGTTAACTTCTTTGACGTCACAGTTATTGAGAATTAAAAAAAAAAAAAAAATCCAATTAGTTTTCTTAACAATTTTTTTTTTATATTTTTTTATTTTTTCAAAAATTATTTTTTTTTATTTATTTTTTATTTTTTTTTTTTAATTTTTTTTTTTATTTTTCTAAATATAATTGCTGGTTTAATTGTATAAAAAAATTATAATTATTTTATTTTATTTTTTTTTCATTGCTATTTTTTTGTATACTGTTGTCTGAATTTTTATTTTGTTTTATTTTGTGTTGATCAAATATTATTAATTTAAATTATATTTTAAATATTTCAAATATAAAAAATAAAAAAAAATAAAATTTTTTTATTTTTTTTTATTTTAATTTCACATATAACACACACATTATTATTTTTTTATAAATTAATAAATTAACAAATAAATATGAAAATATTTTAATAGTAAATAAATAATAGTAATAATAATAATATTAATAATCAATAATCAAAAGACACAATATTATTATTTAAAATTAAAAACAGTATATATACACACAAATATAAAAATGGCGAATAACAGAAATGAAAGAAGCTCATTATTTAAATTGATACAATTTAAATTTTACTCATTCCTTTCATCAAGGTTTGGAATGGCGCTTTGTATAATTGGCGCATTCGTTAGTTTTAATACAATATTTCAATTAATTACAGTATATGGAGATTTTGGTGGTGGCGTTAGTAATATTTTAGTAAATGGTAAATTATTTATTGTTTAAATTTTCAATGAAAAAAAAATGATGGTATTGGATTTTAGAATACAGATTATTAATTAAAATAATTATTATTATTGTTTTTTTATTTATTTATTTTTAGATGCAATGTATAAAAGTTGGGAAAATAATGTTGGAGGTAAATCATATCAAGATTTAATATGCTCACAACCAATAGATATAGTATATACATGGGTAAATGGCAGTGATCCGAAATTATCAAAGGCGATTAACGATTTAAAAAAGTCTTTAAGAGATCCAAATAGTAAGTAGAATTAAATATGATATCATGTAATAATAACTCAAAATTAATATTAATTAAATAATTTTATTATAATTAGTGCCAGAATGCACAGAAAAGCAAACACCAGAAAAAGATAAATGTTATAGGGATGATAATACAGCAAGTAGATATGTGGATAATCAAGAGTTGAAGTATTCATTGAGATCCATTGAAAAGAATGCACCATGGATTAGACATATTTTTATTGTTACAAATGGTCAAGTACCAAATTGGTTAGATTTATCAAACCCAAAAATATCGATTATTACACACGAACAGATTTTTGCAAACAAGTCACATTTACCAACATTCAGTTCACCATCTATCGAAACTCATTTACATCGTATACCGGGGTTATCAAAGAAATTCCTTTATTTAAACGACGACGTTATGTTTGGACGTGAAATTTATCCAGATGATTTTGTAACTCAAAGCGGTGGTCAAAGGGTATTCCTTAGTTGGCCAGTTCCTAATTGTAACGATGGTTGCCCCAATAATTGGATTGGTGATGGCTTTTGTGACCAAGCATGTAATGTATCAACTTGTGAATTCGATGCAGGTGATTGCAATAACAGCACAGGTCAAGTTAAAACAAGATGGTGGAATCGTCCAAATATTAATAACAATGCCAACAACAATAATGCAAATAATAATAACAATGCAAATCAAGGTGTAAATTCAAATGCAAACGACCGTTTAAAGAACTATTGTTCGCGTGGTTGTCCAGATTCATGGGTTGGTGATAAGCATTGCGATCGTATGTGTAAAAATGAAGATTGTGGTTTTGATGCTGGCGACTGTGGTGTTGAAATTATGTTTTCTTCGATGAGAGGCTACGAAATCGATCTAGGTACAATCAATATTGACCTACCGGATAAAACCTCATCGGTGTATTTCAATCTTTCAAAACTTATTGGGGATGGTACAATTACTGATGGCTCGCACGATAATGCTGTTTTAGTTAGAACCGCAACAATTTCACAAAAGCATAAAATTATGACTCTTACTTTTAATAAAGATAAACCAAAGCAAAATGTTTCAATCTCGATCACTTTTGAAACCATGGTAACCTCATCGAAACAATCCTCAACCGAACCAAAAGAAACTAAACAAACAATCGAAAAAACCTTTAATATTACATTATCAACAAAAGAAATAGAAGATTCATCTCCATCACCAGTATTTTTAACTCCACTAGTTGTAACTCAAGCCGATAGACCAACACCAGATCAACTAATACCAAAAGAAAATAATGAAGACGAAGGAAAAAATACAAAATCATCAGATAATGAAATTGTAGATCCATTAAAAAATGGAAACGATTTTACAACAGCATTACCAAATCCAAATAGTTTAAATAGCAACAATAATGATGATAATGCTGGAACAGGTTCAAATACTAATATTGATTACAATAACAATAACAATAACAATAATAATAATGATGAATCAAAAACTTTACAACAAGAATATTTAGAACAACAAGAAAAATTACAAAAGAAACATACAGATAAATTAAATTCAAATGGCGAAACTATTAGAAAATTTGAACCAGTTGGATCAGATTTTGATTTAGCAAGTGTTGATGAAAAAGCTGAAGAAAAATGGTTAGATTTTGTAAATTTTATAAACTCTGCAGAAAATAAAAAATCAGATAGAGATTTATTATCATTTTCAATCGAAATAGACAATAGTTTAGATGATGATCAAATAATAAATAATATAGGTAATATAAATAGTGATAATAGTAATAGCAATAATTTACAATTAGAAAATAATTCAACAAAACAACAGGATAATGATCCTTATAGTAATAATAATTTTAAATATACAAATATAATCAAAAATGAAGATATCAATATCCATAAACTAGAACAAGTAGATTTAAAGATAAAAGAAATTGAAAATGAGCAAAAAAGTTTTAGCCACAGCAACTATTTGGAATATTTAAAAGCTTTAAAGAAAAAGATTACAGATTTAAAAGAATATGACGATCAATTAAGTCAAGATTTAGAATATGAAAAGAAATATAAAATGAATAAAGAATCTGAAACGATATTAAAACAAGAAGGTGAAATCTATCCATGGGAAGAGTTTGATATTGTCGAAGATAACTCACACAGAGGCCAAAGAAAACTTAAAGATATGTTTGGTGATTCACTAAAATATGTAAATAGACTCTATACTAAGGAATTTGGTTCATCGCAAAGAAAAGTACCAGCACACATGCCACACATGATTGATGTCGACATTATGAACGAAATTCAAGCTAAATGGCCAGCTCAATGGGAGGCAACAAGTTCACACACTCTCCGTCACCCTCAAGATATGCAGTATGCTTTCTCATTTTTCTACTACATGATTCACAAAAAGATGACTGTAGACTTGGATAAACTTTGGTATACCGAATGGGATGGAAACAGAGATGGCTATTTAAATGACAACGAGCTCCGTACATTTTCAGTTAATGTCTATGGAGTACCGATTAAAGCATCACAATTTTTACAAATTAAAGACCATTTCTACCAAATTTGTGTTGAACATAACCTGTTGAAACGATTTGAAGCTGGTGATCAAGATGCATCCCTTTTACTCCACAAGAACCACACTACCACACCACCAGAACAAAGAGAAGATTGTAAGATTACACTTGACGTTATAAAAAGTGATAACAAGACTATAGACGACATTAAAAAAGCATACTCCAAAAAGAACTATTACAAGACAACTATCGATGGTACCGATGAAGTCGCTTTTCTTATGATTGATAATAACGACACAATAGCTCAATCCAAATTGGATGGAGTTCGTCAAAAACGTCATAAATATATTTGTCTCAATGATAATATCAACCATTCAAGCCCAAACACAAAGGATGTAGTAAAAGTATTGCACGATTTCTATGACTCACTCTTCCCATTACCTTCTTCATTCGAGTTACCTCCAGGCGAATTTAACAAGTATTTCTACATTGAAGAATTTAGACAAGAAAAAACAGAAATTAAAACCAAAAGCTATTCAAGCTATTATTTATTAATAACCATTTCAATTATAATTTTATATATACTTATGAAATGTAAAGTTTCAAAATCATTTCATAAATCAAAACCATCAAGAAAGTCATATTTACCCTTAGATTCAAAAACAACCTATCATGTCTAATAAAATAATAATAAAAATATAAATTAAAAAATAAAGTAAAACAACAATAACAATAATAATTTAAAATTAAAAAATAAATTTTAATAAAATATATTTATAAATATATAAATAAAATATATTTAAAGATTTTTAATGTTTTTTTTTATTTAATAAATTAATTTAATTTGAAGTTTCCATTAATACTCTAATTTGTTTAATAAGATTTTGATTTTCAGCTTTGATGTTTGATAAATCTTTGACAACACGATCTGAATTTAATGTATTTGTTTTTTGGGTGATATGTTCAATTTTAGAATGTAATGTTAAAATATTATTTTGGAAGCTACCAGTGTCATCGATGGTTTTAAAGAGTTTTTGGAATTTATCATCAATAATAGCAAAAGACTTAATGGCTTGTTTAGCAGTAACGTCTTTTTTAGCATCATTATAAAGGAGGTCTTTGACAAGCTCGAATGTTCTGACGGCAGTATCTGTAACGGTGTTGATTTCTTTTTGAAGATTTTTGGTGTCCAATAAAACCTTATCGATATCGACTTTTTGTTTTTTAATATTTTTAACAGTTTCTAAAATACGACGAGTGTAAATGGAACGATTTGAATCTTTTGGTGCATTTTTATAAGCTTCTTGAAGTTGTTGGAATTGCTCTTCTTTTTGTTGAACCTCTTGGACCAACTTTTTGATAAGCTGACGCATTTCTTTAATACGATCCAATTTAGATTTAGCTTCATCTGCTTGATTCATTTGTTTATCTTTAAGTGAACGGTATTTTTCAATGATTGGACGACGAACTTTCTCCCATTCAGCTGACATCTCTAAAAGATTGGCAGAAGTTTGATTACAAAGACCTTGAAGCTCCTTCATATTTCCTTCAGCATCATCCAATAAAGCGAATGTCTTCTTTTTAATTTTATATTGTTTTTCCAAACCTTCTCTTTGAGTATCTTGTTCGATGTTTTCAGACTCTGCTTGACGCATTAATGATACAAAATCTTGCATTTCTCTTTGATATTGTTGAATTTGTTCAGAGATTTGGTCGATTTGTGATTGGAGTTCGTCAATTTCTTGTTGACGTTTCATTTGTCTTTGCTCTTCGGTTTCGACTTCAGCTGCAACTTGATTTGAACTTTGAATTGATGTAGCCTCTATTTGTTCGTTGGTGAAGAGTTTCTTTCTGCTAAATTGACCACCAACATCTGAAAAACCACCACGGAACTCACCAATGAGATCTTGTAATGAGTCATTGCCGAATGATGCTGATGAGCCACCCTCTATATTTGATGCTCTAATTGAATCATTCATTCTTGATAAAACTTGTTTCATTTTGCTCTTTCTATAATCGATTGGGTTTAAACCTGATGATGAACCTTTGTTATTCCATTCATTTTCACGTTCTTGTGCTTCAGCATAAATTGATAAATTGTATTCAAATACAGATGGTGCAATATCTTCACTACGATTGGTTTGTAATGTTAATGGTTCTAAATTGTTTATATAATATTGCTCTAAACCTGGTACTGTTTTAACTGAACGACCACGTGATGGAATCTTTAATGAATTTGCTGTAAAAAGTTTAGCGGTTGAATAATTACCTGGAATACGTTTTGAAAATGGACAAAAATATGGCATCCAACTCTCTTTGACACAACCTTGTAAATATTGACAAATTTGATCCTCTAATTTCATTGTTTTACTAGCAGTTTCAATTTCTTTTTTTGGTAATGATTGACCTAAAAATATAAATATTCTTCTAATATCATTTACATTTGGGTATAATAAATTATGATAAGATAACTCTGCTCTATATCCTAAATCTTTAATAATATTTGCGATTAAACTGCATGAATTAACTCTTGCTGACATATTCTTTGGTAAAGTTGATGTTAAATTTTGTACTTTATTTTCGTTGATAACCTTTAAATAACTTAAAATACATTTATAAACCATTTCTGAATCAAAATCTTTAATAGTTTCATTTTCTTCTATTTCACTATTTATTTATTTTTTTTTTGTAAATTGATTTAAAAATTAATTCATTGCTAATATTAGTATAAACCAAAAAAAAATAGTAAAAATTAAAAGAAAATTTTTTCATACCATCCTAAATCTTTAAGAGTGATTAAAATAATTCCATCTGCTTCATCCATTTTACAGTAAATCTATATTAAATATAGTGATTAAATGGATTCAATCAAAATATTACAAATAAATAAATTGTGTGGTGTGTTTATTTAAAAAAAATTAAAAAAAATTAAAAAAAAATAAAAATCTTGAATTTTTTTTTTTTTAAATTATTTATTTTTTTTAAAAAAAAATTTTAGAAAATTTAAAAAAATAAAAAAAAAAAATAAAAAAAATATTATATTTTCATTTTGAACACATATGTGGCACAACAACAGTACATTAAACACCCACTAAACATATTTAATTTCATTTATTTAAAATTTAAAAAAAAAAAAAAAAAGAAAACTAATTTTAAATATATTATTATTATTATTTTTTTTTTTTTTTTAATATTTTTCTAAAGTTTTTTTTTCCAACATATAAACATAAATATATATATATATAAATAAATAAATAATTATAAATATTTAATAAAATTTTTGTAATATACCACCAAAAAAAATATCCAAAAAATAAATAATTTTTATGTAATATTAATATTTAAATAAAGATAAAAATAATTAAATATAAACACAAATAAAATAAATTTTAAATAAATAATAAATAATAAATAAAATTTAAAATTATAAACCATTTTATATAATTAATATAAATAACCTCTATATTTAAATTAAAAAATATAAATAAATAAAATAAAATAAAATAAAATAAATAGATATAAAGAAAAACGATAACACGAATAAATATTAATATTAATAAAGATAATATAATATATAATAAAAAGAAATGATTTTAGTCAATCAAGATGAACCTGTGCACTTTGAATTAGAAGAGGATTTCGAAATTGAATATCCAAAATCAAAGTATGGATGGGCAACTCATAGAATACCTTTTACTAAAAAGCAATGGTTTTATTTAGCAGTATTTCAAGGTGCCGGTAATTTTGTTTTAAATTTCTTTTTAAATTTATTCCTTACATGGGTTATGTATCCAAAAACAGAAGGCTATTATATTAGTTTCTCAAGTAAATTTACAGAGTGCATTTTCACCGATATCGTTGTAACTTCGTTTGTTTTACCTTTCCTTACAAATTTAGCACTCTCCTTTTTATGTACTCTCGATTTAAGAAAAGGTAAAGTTCAACCAATTGACGAGCGTTGGTTAAATCATCCATTATTCCGTCAAATTCCAACTGGTATGTATCTCATTATATAAGGTGTATTTTATACTTTAAATATATTTTATTAATAATAATTTATTTTAAACTATATATAGGAATTTTTTGGAAAAAGGTTTTAAAAAGAGGTTTATATGTAGGTATTATATGTTGTTTCGTGGTATCTTTTATCACTTTAATTCCAATATATATCGCAACTGGTAAAGATGGTATGCTTGTAAAATGGCCCTATTGTATTTTTAAAGCATTCTTTTGTGCTACTTATGCCGCACTTATTTCACCAACAATTGCTTTTATTTTAATGGCATCATTTAATCCAAGACATACTTTTTTCGAAAATCATAAATAAACAAACATATATATATATATATATTTAAATAAATAAATAAAAAAGAAAAAAAAAATAAAAAAAATAATAAATCTTTTTTATTTTTTTTTTTGAGATATAGGAATATAAAACAAATATAACGTTTAAACATTTATTCCTTTTTTTTTTTAAATTTTATTTTATTAGAGACTATTAATATAAAAGATTTGGACCTATGTTGTCGCAAACTGGATGATGAATGAATTCTATTGGTATTATGGCTTTTAAAGTTGATTCATTGGACCTGTGAATAAATATAGGACCTCATATTAACTAAACAATTTGTATCATATAATGCAAATTATGATTTCCTTTTATTGATTATTTTTTATCGCCTTTACATTATTTATTATAAAAAAATAATTTTTGTTTTTTTTTTTTTAAAAAAAAAATAAAAAAATTTATTTTTAAATTTTAAAAATTTTTTTTTTTATTTTTTATTTTATTCATTATTTTTTTTATACACACAATTATTTAACATTTTATAAAACTTTTCGTGTTTAGTTTTTTAATATTTATATATACATATTTATATGCACCTATTGGTCAAAAATTAAATTAAATCAATTAAAATAAATTAAAAAATAAAATAATTTAGAGAAAAAGATGCCAGCATTATCAAAAGCAGTTGTTCCATTACAAAGTTGTACTTCATTTCATCCATGGTCAAAATCATGCACATCTAGTGCATCTCAAATTTGGTTTCAAGTATTTTTAGCAGGTTTAAAACTATATGCACCATTATTTTTAGTACCAGCTTTAATTTTTAAAAGAAAAAGGTAATTATCGTCTATACATATTTTTTTAAAAATTTTTGAAATTTCAAAAGAAAAAATAAAAACATAAAAAATAGAAAAAAAAAAAAAAAACTAATAATTATAAATATATTTATTTAATTATAGTATTTCATTTTTACTTAAAAGAACCCTTCCAGAAATTTTAAGAAGCTCTGTATTTTTAGGTACTTATGCAGGTGTATTTTCAGGTGCAATTTGTTTAATTAGACGTATTATTGGTAAAGATGTTAAATCAACTGTAGCAATTTCAGGTCTCTTTGCAGGTTTATTCTCAATTTTAATCGAAAAGAAATCTAGAAGATCAGAGTTGGCACTCTACTGTTTAAATCAAACTATTGAAGTTGTTTGGAAAATGGCTGCTGCCAGAAATTTAGCATTCACTTTTAAAAATGGTGAAGTTTTAGTTTATATGATTGCTAGTGCCATTCTTATGTATTTCTATCAAAACGAACCAGAAAGTTTAAGATCAAACATGAAAGGTTTATTAAATATTTTTATTGGTTCAACATAAAAAAAATAAATAATAATAATAATATAAAACAATCATAAATACAAACCTATAATCATAAATACCAAATACAGATACAATAAAACCAAAAATACAACTATCAAACCACTAAAACTCAATGTACAGGAAAAATAAACGCGGATATACATAATAAAAATAATAAATCTAAATATGTATAAATCAACACACACATTCATTTTATTTTTATTTTCTTTTTTTCTTTTTTTTCTTTTTTTTTTTTTTTGTTTTTTTACAAGATCAAAATCCTTTTATGTATTGGATAAACTAAAATAAATAAAAAAAAAACATTTTATTATGGCTTTAGCAAAAGATTCGTAATTAATTAATTAATAAAACCGAAAATTAATAAATTAAAAAAATAAAATAAAAAATATTTATAAATTATTTTTTTTTTATTTTTTTTAATTTTTTTAAAATTTTTTTTTCTTTTTTTTCTTTTTTTTCTTTTTTTTTTTTTTTTTTTTTCTTTTTCTTTTTTTTTATTTTTATTAATTTATTTATTTTAAAATATTTGCTGCATTTGCATATTTGTGTGTGTGAATTTTTGTTGTGTATTTTTTTAAAAAAAAAAAAAAAACACACACTTAATTTTTTTTTCATATTTTTTTTTCATCCATCCATTATTTTTTTATATTACTGGTATATATTAAAATAATATATAAACCATAGTTATATAATTTATAAAATAGGTTAAATAATTAAATTTTTTATTTTTTATTTCACAATAAAAAAACAATATAAAAAACAAATATGAATAATTCAAATACTAATAATATACCAATAAAAAATAGTAACGCAAATAATAATTTTAAAAATCTAGTTGCATCATCTGCAGGTAGTTTTTTAACATCGTTAATAGTTACACCATTGGATGTTGTTAAAACTAGACTACAAACTCAAGTTACAAAACCACCACCAAAATCAGTTTTAAAGACACAATTTTGCAGACAACATCGTTTATCATATCATTCTCATTTTCAAAAGAAACATGTTTTTAATAATACAACCGATGCTTTTAAGAAAATATACAAAAATGAAGGAATTTTTACATTTTGGAGAGGTTTAGCTCCATCATTATTAATGACTGTACCAAATGCTGCAATGTAAGTAACTAACTAAATAAATAATAATAATAATAAAATATAGATTAATACTAATATAATACAACACCTTTTACAGATATTTTACATCATATGAATTTATTAAAGGACATTTATATAAATTTGGAGATAGCGAGGGATATACAATTTATACTGTACCACTTATTGCAGGTTCCATTGCAAGAATGGTATCGGCTTCAGTTACATCACCGTTAGAATTATTAAGAACCAATTCACAGGGCGTTAGTTTAGCAGCAACCAAGAATGCAATGGCATCAGTTGCAAATACAGCTCAACATGCTGTATCCAATGCAGCATCTTCAACATGTAAAGTATTAGGTTGTTCAGCTAATGTTTGTTTACCAACAGCTGCCGCTTACTCAACTTGCAGTACTAGAATCCCAACAACACCACAAAAATTCAATTCATTCACCCTATTCAATGACATCATTAAAAATGTTGGTGTAAAAGGATTATGGAGAGGTTACATACCAACCATTGTGCGTGATGTCCCATTTTCATCATTATACTGGGGCGGTTACGAGGTTTTAAAATTAAAGTTTATGAGATTCCAAGACCCTTCTTATAAAGTAGGCGGTAACTCTCCATTTATAATAAACTTTGCTTCTGGTGCCATATCAGGAGCCTTTGCAGCTGCATTAACAACTCCCATCGATGTTATAAAAACAAGAATTCAAATGTCGGTACAACAATCATCAAATCACTCCAATGTAAATACAAAAGAATTAAGGAGTGTAAGATATCATTTTAAACAAATTATTAAAGAAGAAGGTTTCATAGGTTTAACTAAAGGATTAGTACCACGTGTTGCTAAAGTTGGACCAGCATGTGCAATCATGATATCAACTTTCGAATGGATTAAACAATCAAATTTTGATTGAAATGTTTTATAAAAAAAACAAAAACAAAAAAAAATAGAAAAATAAAATTAAAGATTTATAATAAAATTTTTATTTAAAAAAATAATAACAACTTTTTCTTTATTTATTTGTTTGTTTATTTATTTAATGTTTTTAAAAGAGTTTTGATGGTTTCATGTAAAGAATTGAGCATGTTTTCATTTTTATTAAATGAATTGTAAAATTCCATATATTTATCATCAAAAAAGTTATTGTGCATTGGGGTGACTTGTGTTTTAATTAAATAATCAATGTTTTTCAATACAAAGGAGATGGGTGATATTTCTACAAATACTAGTTGGGGTGTATTTGTGGTATGTGTTGAGTTTTTGATTTCGTTGAATAGACTTTTTACAGTTGTGTTTATATCTACCATACCCCTCATTTGATCATATAGATATTGGCTGTTGTATAAAAATGAAGATGAAAATAATTTCCCATTTAAACATGAAAATTGCTTTATATTTGGTAGTCCAGATTCTATTTTTAGGTTTATAATTTCATCCTTGATATCTTCAACCGAGGAGTGATGAAAACTTGATCTTTCTAATAATTTTGAAAATTTAACATTTTCTTTTGAAACTCTTTTTTCAAATGCATTACATTCAGATATTTTTAAACCACATAGTATAGTGTCGATATCTGATGTATGAGCACCTACCTCTAAATTTGGGAACTCTTTTAATAGTGTTTTATAATAATCTTTATCTGCATACACTTTATAAATTACATTTTCTCTTAAATTTCCATTTAATAATTTTGCTCTATTTACCAAAATATATATTGCCATGTCTAAAGTTATCATTCCGGTGCAATATGAAGCTGAAATTTCACCTAAACTATAAATATAAAAAATTAACATTAATTAAAAAAATATTCAATTTTTTTATAAAATATACATACCTAATTGCTATGATATAATCTGGGGTTATTCCCCTACTTTTATATAGTTTGAATATAACAGTCTGGGTAATAAACAATAGTGAGTTTCCCAAAACTTGTTCTTTGAAAATTGATATATCTTCTATATTTGATCTTCTAATTTTATCCCAAACGGAATAACCCAAATAGTCTTTTAATTTGTTATCAATAGTATCTATTGTTTCTTTAACTAAAGGGTCTTTTTGGTAGAGTTCAAAAAAGGAATAATAATACCTCATTACTTGACCACAAAAAACATAAACTAGAATTTTTTTATTCATTTTATAATATTATTAAATAAAAATAGTTTCTATTTATTAATAATTTAGTTAATTTATTTTATACTAATAAATAAAAAATTTCTTTTTATATTTTCACATTTTATTATTTATTTATTTAATTTTTTATTTATTTATTATTTGATTTTTTATTTTTACATTTTTTTTTATTTTTGGGGAATTAAAATTAATTAATACCACAAACCCTAATTTCCAAAGAAATTTAATCTAGTTCATTTTTTTATCTTTTTTTTTTTTTTTTTTTTTTATAATTAATATTTAAACAATATTATTATTATTATTTTTTTTGAAATAATTTTTGAAAAATTTTTTTTTTTTTTTTGGTGTGTGAATGTGTGGTGTGATTAAATTGGTTTAAACTCTATTTTAAGTGTGTTTTTTTTTTTTAATGTGTATGAATCCATTAACATTCGCACAATAAAACACTCATTAGTTTTTATTATAGAATAATATAATATTTAATATTATAATTAATAATATTTTTTTTTATTTTTTTTTAAATTATTTTTTAATTATTTTTTTTTTATATAATACCTTTATTTTTTTTATTTTTTTTAAAAAACAAAAAAAATCTTTAAATAAATGAATAAAGAGAATTTAAACTTTACACCTTCTACTAATATAACCATAAATAATAATAATAATTACAATATTGTTAGTGTTAGTAAGGAAAATAATTTAATTGGGGAAAATTCAAATTTTTCAAATACCACAACCACATTATTAACCGATCAAAATACAATTAATAATAATAATAATAATAATACAAATAATAATACAAATAGTAATTTTGGCTCATTACAAATAATGGAAATTTTAGATAACCAAGATTTAAATTCAAATACAGAAGAATATTATTTATTTTTATTGGAACTTTCCTCTATTGTCAGATCATCCTCATTTACATCTGGTTACATTTTAAGGAGTTGCTCCAATTCTACAAGGATATCAAATTATTTAAAAATATTGATTGGAAATTATAATAAAAAAAAAATTATCAATAAATAGTTTATTTTTAGATATATTAAAAAAATATAGTGTATCTTTATTTTTTTATTATTTTTTTTTTTTTTGATAAAAAAACTATTTTTTTTTAAATTTTTAAAATTTTTTTTTCATTTTTTTTTTTTATTTTTACATTTTTTAAATTAATTTTAATTTCATTTCATTTTATTGCCATTATCATTATTATTCGATTATTATAAACTATGGACACAGCAGTAGCAGCAGCATCAACCAAACTCACAGAAAAAGAAGCTCAAATTTATGATAGAGGTATTAGACTTTGGGGTGTTGATGCACAAACCAAATTACGTCAAAGTAAAGTACTCTTTATTGGTATCAATTCATTAATGTCAGAAATTATAAAAAATGTAGTATTGGTTGGTGTCGACAAAGTTGAATTGGTCGAGGATGCTTTGGCAACTTATGATAAATTAGCATGTAATTTATTTTTAAGTGAAGATTCAATTGGTAAAACCGTAGGTTGTTATAGTATAGTTATTTTTTAGCAAAATAATCACATACTGAATATACTAACACTATTATTTATCATTAATGTATTTAGGTTGTTAGTGAAGCAATTCAAAAAATTAATAGTTTAAATCCACTAGTTACAGTAGATTCAACAGATAAAGAATTTGAAACAATGACAGATGATTTTGTTAAAGGTTATGATTTAGTTGTACTTTCACATACAAACTTTTCCAATGCCTATATAGTTAATAATCTTTGTAAAAAAAATAATATTCCATTCATTTTAACAGGTACCTTTGGTTTACATGGTTTTATATTTGAAGATTTAAATGAATTTACATACCAAAAGAGGTAAGTTATTAAAATAATTTAAAAATAATAATAACAACAACAATAATAGAAAAAAAAAAAAAAAAAAAAAAAAAAAACAATTATTAATTCTTTTTTATAGGGATGAAAGTAAAGAGGGTTCTCTTATTGAAACTCATAAACTTTCATATAAAACAATAAGCGAATCTTTAAAAGGTGGAGTTTGGAATAAAAGAGTTGATCCACACTTTTTAGTTTTATTCCTTTTAGCAAAATTTGAAGAAAAACACAATAGAGTTCCAGATGTTTTACAAAATATCGATACCGAAGAGTTAACAAGTAACCTCAATGAAGTTATTAAACAACACACCCTCAAACAATCAGAAATTGATAAAATTTTTAAAATTACAAAGTAAATATAAATCATTCATTCATTGATTCATTTATTATTTTTTTATATTAACACCTTTTAAAATAAAATTAAAAATTAGGGATACACTCCGTACATTAAACGCAGAGGTTCCAACTACATGCTCAGTTTTAGGTGGAATTGCAGGTATAGAGGTTATTAGAATTCTTTCAAGAAATGGTACACCTATCAATAATTGGTTGTTCCTTGACGTTGAAAAAGGAACCGGTAATGTCGAAATTTTATAAAACTAATGTTAAATATTATTAATACATTGTAAAAAATAAACGCCAAAAATACATAGCATAAACCATGGTTAATGGTTTTATGTATTTCTATTGTATATAATATTAACAATACAAAGATAATCTAATTAGATTTATCAAAATAATTAATTTAAACTTTCTTTTTATTTTTTTTTTTTTTTTTTTTCAAAAATTATTATTATTATTTATAAAAATATAAAATTAATTATTCTTTATTATTTTTTTTTTTATTTACATATTGTTATTATTTAAAAATTAATATTATTGTTGTTGTAGTTGTTATTGTTATTTATTTTATTAGTATATTGGTAATGATAGTTTTGCGATTGCAGCTCTATCACTTTGCTTCTTTAAATTTTCACTTTCGGCATTATCGTAAATATAATCAACCATTATATTAACGTTGGCAGGTCCATGATTTATAATGGTGTATCTACTACAACGTAATATATGTTCCTTCATACCATGTTGATTAATATTAATAGGTTTACTTTTATAATTATCTGATGAAATAACAATGTTGGATTTAATGGTTTCATCATTATTCCATATCTTTATTGATATATATCTATCATTTAAATTGTGTGCTAAAGAAATGAAATTACTAATTAGTAAAAAATAAATAAAAAATCTAATCTCTATTATTATTATTATTATTATTATTTAATTAAAGTATACTTACAAAATTGATCATTAACCTTTAATTCTTTACAATTACAAATCATTTTTATATAATTATTTTATTTATAAATATTTATAAATTATTATAATATTTTTTTTATTATCTTTTAAAGAGTATGCTTGGCTTTTTATTAATGTGCGAAGGAAATTAATTAAAGCTATAAAAAATATATTGAAAATTTTTAAGTTATTATTAAATAATTAATTTATATATAATTCAAAGTTGAAAGTAAAAGTATTGTTAATTTTTTTATTTATTTTTTTTAATTTATTAATTTATATTTATTTAAATATAATTTTAATGTATTGTGTTGTTGGTATTTTTGGTGGTGTTACTTAAATAAACTATTCTTATTTGTTGATATTGGATAGTGTTGTTAGTAATGTTAGATGATTGTTGGATTTAAGATTTGAAGCTATTGATTTCAATGATGATTGTAAAATTGTTTTTTTTTTTATATATCCAATTTTTTTTTTTTAATAAAATAAATAATTTTTATTATTAATATTATTTTAAGTAATTATTTATTTTTAATTTATTTATTTTTTTTAATTTATTTCTTTAATTATTTATAATATATATTTATTATAATATTAACACTAACACACAAACAAACAAACAAACAAAAAAAATAACAAAAATAACATGAACATAATATTATTATTATTTTATTAAAGGTGGGTATGCAGGTAGTAGAGTGGTTGCAGTTGTGGGTGATTTTGAGAGAGTGTGGGGGTTAGCTTTTATTTTTTTATTTATTTTTTATTTGAGTTTATCTTTGTGCCATCTTATTAATCTTTGAAATAAATTTAAGATATATAAGATTCACATAAAAATAATTGATAACACAGTTAAAAAAAAAAAAAATTCGGTGAATTTAATAATAATAAAAAAAAGAAAAAGAAAAATAAAATAAAAAAAATTCAAAAAAAATAAAATTTAAATTGTACGAAAGTTTATGTTAAAATTGAATTTGATAAAAAAAAAAAAAAAGGGACATATTAAAAAAGGAATTATTTTAAAATTAAATATTTATTAATTTATTCTTTTTCTTTAATTTATTTAAATATACATATTTACAAAAGGTGAGTTGGTTTATTTATTTATTAAATAATAAATGTTATATTGTTATTGCTTCTATTATTATAATTTTTATTATTATTATTATTATTATTATTGTTATTATTGGTGTTTTTTTATTCATATTACATTTTTACACTATCCATTTCTTTATTGTTATTTTTGATTTTATTATTTTTATGATTTATTTTTTTTTTTTTTTTTTGAATTATTATTTATTATTAAAGGTTTACTAACCTAAAGTTTTAAAGTAATAACAATAGTTAAAAGTTTCACTATGAATAACGTCTGGAACAACGTGGTCATATAAAAAGATTCTTTGAAAGTAAAGTTCTTTAAAATTTTTGTTACCGTTTAATCTTAACTTTTCTATCCAGTTAATAAAATCATTTGGAAGGAATGTATCGAATGATTTTAATAATACTGGATAGTTTTCAAATAGTTTACTGATTTTAACAAACATTTTGAGCATTGATAGGGGTTTAACAATTATTTTATAAAAAGCTAAATATTTTGATGAATCTTCATTTTGAAGTGTTTGCTTCACCAAATCTAAAAATTCTTTACAGTTGCCCAATGTTCTACAACTATTATTATTATTTTGTTTATATATTGGAATTCTTTGAATGGTTTCATAATCTTTGATATCAAACTTATCATAAGATTTGATATTTGGATTATATAAATAAGAGTATGGTGCTTCTAAACTATTAAAATCATTATTAATATTATTATTATTATAATTTTGGTTTTTTTCTTTTTTTTTTAAAATATTATTATTATTGCTAATACTATTATTATTATTTATATTATTCATTTTATTATTATATATCTCTTTTATTATTTAAATAATTTATTGTATATTAGTA